GCCGTCGCGATCAGAACGTCTGGGATTTCCGCCAGTTGTGCTCTTGTAAATCGATGCAAACGAGATAATACTGTTTGGAAGTATTTCAAAACTCATCTCCAGAATAATTGGGTCCCTTTCTTTGTTTTAATCGGTTTATTTCTGAAAGCTTGCCGCTTCAATTTGCTGGACTCCCGAAAGAAAATTAGAACACGGTCGTTGGCAAGCGATCCAAGATTTCAGGGCTCAGTTTGATTTTGAATTAGACAATAAAGGGGCTTTTGTTTGATACATTTCTTTAAGCCTTTCTTTTCTTTTAAGCCTTTCTTTTCTGAAAACTCTAAGAATGTGACGCTGTTGAAATTTATCGTAAAGCGATTCACCAATCACCATGCTGCATGTTGAAGTTTAGGGCAGTCAATCAGATGAAATATCACGAAGCTTACGTACCGTAAATTTTTTTTATTTATTTGTTGTCGTTGTCGTTTTTACCGATCATGAATGAATGCGTTGTGGATTGAAGTCAGAGATAAACAACTTGAGAATTTTCTCGGGTTTGTAATTTTTTATGTCTAAACTTTTAATGAGCGCCAATGAAAACAAGAAAGTCCTGTTCACGCAACAAAAGAAAATGACTATCAATTTTATTTCGACACGACTTTCTAAATCAAGTAATTCAATTCAGTCTTGTACAACTTCGTTGAAAAAAGAAGAAACAAAACAAAACAAAGAAACGAAAAACCGAAACGAAGTCTTACCCTAAGCCTAACCGTTTCATGGGTGACTTGTTTGAGTTCAATTAATTCTTTCAGCGTTAAACAAGAACTCATCGTAAACAACTTTGTCGTCGGCTCGCTTGGTTTCTACATGGTTTAGCCATAATCCCGTTCAAAATGCATTGCACCTCTAAGTATTCAATGTTCAAAAGAGATGTACCGTCGTGAATGAATACAAATATTCAGTAACCAAGTGGAAAAACGATGATGATTTCCAAATTATTCTTTGTAAAATTACGAAGAAATATGAGCAGTGCTAAAATCTAGGGGTACGAAACGAAATGACAACACAAATCGCGGAAAAAATTATCTGATGGGCTCTAAAATTTGATAGATGAATCAACAGACACAAGTCTTACCTGGAATGGATATATTATAAAGTTTAATCGCCCACGTGGTTCGTATGTTAACATCTAACTTTCCATAACTATAATTATCCTCTGTTTACGCTTGTTGCATAACTCTCAAACAGGATAGTTTCGTTGTCTTCAATGCTGTTTGTTAAACCGAAAATTTGTATCGGCGATCTTTGAAAAGCTGAGTTTAGACTATTGAAGAACAAATTTTGCGCTTAAGTCTCGTTGCAACGACTGCTAAGTCACTTCTAAGAACGGGGCGACGTTGTCGACCCAGTTTCTTACCGGTATTTTTGCTGCGCGCGCCGTTGTCAACTGACGTTCCCGTCCTCTTGCTAAATCTATCTATTGTTTCGTAAAGCTCCCCATTTCAACCATCTTTAAGCCGGGCAAGCCTGTCTAAATAAATTGCATTTCGAAGGTTTGTTTCGCTTTTTTGAATTTCTTAAGTCATTTGTCCTCTTTTAGAATGTCAAAGCTATCGAACTCTGACTGGAGCAGACAGAAGGATAAATTACACCAATCAAGACAAGATTTGTGATAGTAGACCTAAGGGTTGCTCCCTGCATGTGTTATGGTCTGGCTTTCAGTTATTTTTTAAACAAGCGCCCATTTCAACCAGCTTCAAGCTGAACTGGGTCAGCTTTTCTAAATAAATAAATTGCATTTGAAGGTTTGTTTCGCCTTTTTTAATTTCTTTTAACATTTCTTTTTTCTCTAATTTAGAATGTAAAAGCTATCAAAGTCTGACAGGGTTAGACAGAAGGACAAATTACACCAATCAAGACACCAATCAAGACAAGGTCTGTGATAATAAACTTAAGGGTTGGTACCGTTTTGAAGGAGCAGCAGGTACAAGAATGCCCACTTCATGTCCGCCTAAATACCGATGTAACTCTAGCGTACCCGGTTGGCTAAATGGTACACATCCCACACAAACTGATGGCCGGGTTAACAGGACGGTTTGCTTTCACTTTTCAGACTGCTGCACTTGGTCAAGTTCCATTAAAGTGATAAACTGTGGTGGTTACTACGTTTACCACATAAATGGTACACCTCAATGCTACCTCCGCTACTGCAGCATAGACTAAATCGATGCTGATTCAGAAAATCATAATTTTTTTCCATAGCCTTTTTACTTTTCTTCTCATTAGCTCCAGAATCTCTGGGGGATTCAATAATACAGTTGCGGTTTTTGGAGGCTGATTATGATTTTGAAGAGGCGAAGATTGCTTTTCAGTAAAATGCAGACAGTTACCAGCATGGCTTACTGTTAAAGACAAGTCTTTCTTGACTGACGTTGTGATGGTCCGTTCTGATACCAGGGTATTCGATCACAAAATTCAGTGATCGTTTTAGTATTAGCAAGAAAAACTCCCCAAATAGGGCATGGTTATGTCTTCCTAAGTGGAGGAGACTGTTTACCAGTCAGCGGTCTCCGCTTTTATAGGTGCCAAAATGTATGATTGCCTTCTCAGCAATTTGATGATTTCTAAGAATGTGGATATTTTCAGACTTTGGGTGATCAAGTTATTCACCTCCCGTTATATACTTGAACCATTATATGATAGTTCTAAGCTGACCGCGCTATCGCAAGGTTCGAAAGAAATAATTACACTTATTATCCTGCAGGAGAATGTGAAGATGACTTTTCTCACTCCTTCTTTCCAATGCATTAAATTTGTTCAAAAAATAAGAACTCGCACCTTGAGTTATTTTTCATAGTAAATTAAAGCATTGCATCACCGGAAATGTGTGCGACAACTTTTTTCCTTAATTTATTTATCTCATTTCAATTTAAAGGCGTTCTTAATTATTTAGTTTGTTCATGTTTACCTTAACTGATTTATTGTCAATCTTTGTGTAACCATATTTATGTACGGCTCTTAATGATTTCAGCCTGTTTGGTTTATACTTGTTTTTGTTTCATGACCTGTTGTTACAAGCTTATAACTGGTTTAAATTATTAGTCTTTCGTTCTCTGCACACAACTCTCCATGACCATAGCTTATGGTGTATGCAAGTTGTGCTTGTAATTTATTTGTCACTGTAAAAAATAACAACAATGTGTTTCTTTTATTCTTTTGTTTGTGTATTTCCGTATGCTGTTACAACCAAACCTTTTCCTTAATAAAAAAGCCAAGTGTAGGTCCGTCCAAGAGCCGTTATGTCTGGTACCATTATTTGAGTCAAGTTACGTGCGAGAGAAGAAAAAGATTTTACAGCATTAAACATGTACGATAGAGCCTTGTTCCTTTTATAGCATACTTCTAATGGTAATTATTAAAAACTGGATCATTAGATAATGAAATTCAAGACTTTTTATTGGCTTAGCCATTATGGTATATGAGCCAATATACCATAATCTAATATCTGTACATTGTAACATCTGGTTTCTTCTTACAAAGTAAAGTAGAGAAGATTTGCATAATATCTTGGGGGCGTTTTTTCTTTTTTTTAATAAAACGATTATTCCACTCTCGCTTGTTGGATATGAGATGACTATAGCCAACTCGGCGCTACCCCCCTCGTTGGCTATTTATCTTCTCATATCCAACGCGCGCTCGTAGAATAATGGTTAATTATATTTATTGGTAAATAAACATGAAACGTGTTTTAAAGAACCAATCGCAAAGTTGAAAGTTATAGTAATTCAGGGAATGTCACAGGCATACCCAAACAATATAGCTGTGAATGCTCCCTAATGGAGTCGATCCCACGACCTACCGAACAGTACGATGGGTGCTCTATCACCTCGCTATAGGAGACTCGGGGCAGGAATAAACTTCCCAAGCATCGGGTGATGAAGCTTTTGTTCTTAAACATTGAAAACGATAACTACAAAAGCTACAACAGCAAAAGAGAAAAATAAGAAACGCACTTCCAGTTAAAAATAGCAAGTGCATTCGCAAAATAACTTTCTAATGCCTCTCGTCATGTGGTTCACTTGAGATTTTGTTAAAAAACATCTGAATTCAAAATCAAAAGTTCCCTCTACCAAGCGCTAATTTAGCATTTGAATCCGAAATAATGAAACCGGACGTTAATAAGCTTCTTCTAGTGTCGAACCTTTTAAGTTGTATGAGACTACGAGCAATCCTTTTTTTAGGCGAAGTTCTCTGTGCGAGTCTGAAAAAAATCAGCGTTAGAAAAAAACCATGTTAGCGCGCCGCACAGAACTTTGGGAGTGAGACGCCTACCTTCCAAAATCGGATATTAGCGTTGGAAATTGGAAAACAGCTTACCTAAAATCAAATAATAGTATTAGCTTCCAAAATGGGTCAACAGCGTCCGAAATTTAATAACGCACCCATGTTGCACTGCTCTTCTAAAAATGGTTGACGACTGGAGACTAGCCCTGGATTCTAAGAAAGTCACTGGAACTATTGCCATTGACCTTTCCAAAGCTTTTGGTTCTGTGTGTCACAGTCTACTCCTAGCCAAGTTGCGTGCTTATGGTCTGAATGATGATGCCCTCAGATTCGTCCAGTCATACTTGACTGAGCGACAGCAAAGAGTTAAATTTAATTGCAAATTCTCTGATTGGCTTCCCGTTCAATGTGNTCAAAGCGTACATGGGGTCAGCATCGGTTTGTTTGTCATGCAGTAGATGACTGGAACGCTCTCCCAGACGGCATTAGGAACATTTCCGATTTTTCAGTTTTTAGACGTCTTGTTAAAAACATGTAGTCTCTTCTATTGATTATGCCCTTTTATTCTTTTCTTGATAACCATATTTAAATTTTCTGTTATCCTTACGTTAGATTTATGCAGGGCCTCACTGAAAACCACACTTTGTGACGTGGGCTCCCTGTCAAAAGATCTTACTTATTATTATTATTATTCAGTTCGAGCTAAGTTAGGATTTCAAGATTTGCAAATTTAGGAGCGCCTTTTATTTAAGACCGCGTGAGGGGTGGCTCATCAATCGACATTTCAGTCAGATAACCCTATGGGGAACATAGAAACGTCTTTTTTTGTTTTGTTTTTTTACAGACTTGCTTCTTTATTCTAGAAAATACACGAAAACTGAAACGAGCGTCCGTAGCCGTAAAATGGCGGAAATCAGTGCCCCAAGTAAAGGCAAATGAACTTTGCTCATGAAAAGCGCAAAGGAAAACAAGCTCGTACCCATTTGAAAAATTTGTATCGGAGGGATTGAGATATGGTTGAAGTCTAAAACGGGACCATTTCACAACCAAGTCAGGAAAAAGGTGATGCTTTTGATACTTCAGCTGATGTTGCTTCAGGTTACATCACGCTGTAAAGTCATTTCTACACAAGTCATTTGAAGGAGCTCCACGAGTGAGGCCCTCGAAAAGTAGAGGAAAAAAAACTACTCTTCGGGGGGCCTTTCTCATGGAGCTCCTGCAGCGTATCGGCGTCACTTCAATCCGTGTCGCGCTATCACCAATTTCTTTTCTTTTCCTTTCTTTTTTTTTTTTTTAACTCGCGCGACGGACTTCGCCAAAAAGGAGGGACTGCTCGTAATCTAAATCATTTCTGAACACTTAAAGACTCAGTCAGCAATACCGATGTTGAGGCCGAAATGGGTTTTATTTTAGATCGAGCGCTAATTCCTAACTAAGCCGTATTTCAGGAATTCTTTTTAAAATATTATTATTTCGAAGAAGTTTTCCAAAATGCTGCAAAGCGCCGGTCTAGTAAAACTGCCCAAATGGCACAGTGCGTTGTTCCAGAAATTCTTTAAATTTTTGGTTTGTTTGCAGAGACTTTATGTGGCAAGACAAATATGCCATTGCCGCAAATTATAAAATAACCTCTTACTAACCGAGCGCGAGGGCCGTACTGAGGATTATTGGCCCGAAATCCTGATCGAGAGCCAATATTTCCCAATATAGCTCGAGCAAGCTATGTTAGTAAGTATCTTATTGTATGCACTCGCGAAAACTTCTTAAATATTAGATTTTCCGGCTTCCGCGAACAGAAATACGCCGCTTACCAGTGGAATACTGGTGGTTTAATTTTAAATACAAAAGTATGAAGGTTCTTAAAGCAAATGGCTCAGAAGATAGGGTCTTCAAGGTCTAGGTTTTGTAGCTTATATAGTCAAATACAACTGCTGATAAATAGGTAGAAAGTCAAGGGCGCTGTTCTTACCCTTTACAAAAGATGTAACAATTAATTGAGGGTCTCCTTGGCAAGATGGCTTTCACTTCTGACGATTAAGAGTTTGGCCGTTTTACGGCGAAAGCTAAAATTTCTACGGTTAACTTTTTTTGGACAAACGGTTAAAACTTGTCAATTTTTACACCTAAAGACTAACTTTCTGCCGTTTTACGGCCAAGGTTTAACCCTCTAAGAACCACTAAGGATTTCTAGTTGCGACAACGTAGCATTTACGCGATCCTCCCTTAAAGCATGGAGTGTTTTTCGTTTCAGGTCGCAAACCGCAAACCGACCTGCCTTATCAAAAAGTATACGTATGTATGTATGTATGTATGTATGTATGTATGTATGTATGTATGTATCCCTCCGTATTGATGGTGGAAGATTTTATAATCCCCTCCTCTCTTCTTTTCTAGCCACCACAAAAAGCCAGTGTTACTATTCTATTTCCCATCCCACGTACCGATAAATTGAAGTTTTACAACAGTGTCGTTAAACAGAAATACGAATCTGCCTTTTGTAGTGAACAAGGCAAATTCAAACGGTATCTCCTTAAGTATAAAAAAAAAGGAGAGAGGTAATATTTTCTGGCCTTTGGATTTTCATAATTACACTTTGCATCTGTCGGTTTGGCAATCATGAGCAACAATGCAACCTCAGTGAAGCTATGTTTTTAAATTTTCGTTCGGGATAATGTGAGCTGGGCAGAGACTCGGAAAACACTATGGAAATAATAGTTTAGAATTTAAAAAAAAAACAATAACAAATTTGAAGGCTGTTATCGTACCTTTCCATTTTACAAGTGCCTCATTATTATAAAACGGAAAGAAAGGATTTCTGAGGATAGGAGTAATGGATGAAGAGACCTGCCAAAGGAGAAAACTAACAAAATTGTAACGATATCAATACACATCAAATCATCTTACAGCTTCCCTGTGACGGGTTGTGAAATATCTCTAACCTATCCAAATACTACGAGCGCGTTACTTGAAAGTGTAGCCTTAAATTGGTTGTACACGGCAGTCAACAAACTGCTGTTAAGCTGTTCGTTTTAATTAATAGCTCTCTAATATCAAAAATTTATCTTTGCTGCTGTTTTTTTAGGACATGAGA